ATCAATTCCAGAAAAGGTACACTACACCTACTCACAGGTTTTTTCATATTATTCTGAAGTTGAACCATTTTTTCTGCCAAGGAAGCTCTTTTTTCTGCTTCTTCAGCTTTGGTTTCAGTCTATGAAAAAATGACAGACACTAAATTTTAAAAAAAAGTTTACAAAACCAATAAAGGTAACATAAAACATTAATATGATGCTTTTCCATGAATTAATAATTAATTTTACAGATATGTAAAACCAATTGACAAAGATCAAATTAACTCTGCTTCCTTCCCCAGCCCCCCACAATTAAGTGCTTCATCCCCCCCCCCATATTTTGTTGCCAAAAAAAAATTATTACACAACAAAATAAAGTTGCTGTTATTCAAAGTATTGGCCATTCTTAATCACCACTATTCGGCCTTACATCCTTAAGGTCTGACAGCTAGGTTTTTTTTCACGAGGAGGGATAAAAGACATTTCAAAAATATAATATGTCTATTCAGATCAAAATTGTTGAAATATTTTCATCCCCTATAAATGCCTACTTTGTGAATTTGTTAAAATTTGTAAAATTAATAACTGTAGCACTAACAAAGCTTCTTCTCTTGAATTTTCAATAAGAAAAAAGACTCTATACAAGGGATTTACATTACAAACATAGGTACATTACATGTGTACATTGTTATACCCACCTCAGCTAGCTTCTGTCTGAGTGCCTCAATTTGTTGTTCAACATTTGGGTCAATCCTGTGTGACGCATGAGCTCTGCTTTTGTCTCTGCCCATGAGAAACCTGTACAATTAAGCAATCGGGAAATTACTGTTGATATCATACAACCTATATATTTTGATCCAAATAAGGCATTGTGGTTCCAGTTTACAGACATCTGCACATTGCAAGTAAATCAAGAAGTCCAGGAATAAGTATCTACTTTATGGCTACCAACTCAAAAAACCTTTTTACTGAGTTAATGAAAATATTGGCAAGTCATGCAAAATTTGACAGAATGCTTTAAAGCAACTTTTTTATTAATCATTAATAATTCCAAATGACATCCCCACCCACCCCACCCTTTTTTTAATTTGGTTTTTTTGTTTTGTTTTTTAAATTTATCTTGATAAAAGCACTCTTCATTTGTATGATGACTAAAAACTATGAGTGGAGGGGCTCAAAATAAGGATAGAAGAAACCATGACTCAGTTTTACATGAATAAACTTTGACAAGGGACACTTCTAAGAGAAAATCCACAATTATCCTAAATTGTTGGTAATCATCACAGTGACAACAGCTTCCATTTGTTACTGGGAAAAATTTCGCAGCCTTCATACCTTACAAGTCCACTTGTGTTCTTCAGAGTCTGTGCAGCAAATATTTGTGTTACTCCCACAAGAGAAACTCCATCAACCTCTATTATCTGATCATTCACTTGTATTCTGTCAGAGAAAAGATGTTTCAGTATATACTTGGTACTGTATGTGAGCTGATAGGGGAGCATACAGCTTATGTTATTGGACTGTAGATACACCAACCTTGTACTAG